GTAGGGATATCTGCCACATTGTATCGATCGTTTGGTGCCTTGGGTCACATGGTATGAGATATTTGTAGGCCCATCCTTACTTTTAAATAAGATCATTGAAGACGAATACTTGCTTTTAAAATATCATCAGCCTACAGCCGTCTACTGCTGAAGGCCTCCCCCAAGGAGCGCCAACTACTGTAAAATATCATTGGGTTTACTAATTTGATGCGTGAATAGTAACCAGTATTAATTCTCAAAGCAGGCTGTATAGGGACAAACTTTGTTTTCGCCTATCGCCAACCCTGCCATGTTAACTAAAAACTAACTCTGAACGGACTAAAATTTGGAACTAAGCGCCAAAACCATTCTTTTTTATCTCAATAATACCTATCCAACGATGTATCACACGTGGCAATTGGGGGATCGGATCAAATTTCACAGGAACACTGACATAATCCTTTTATAATATTCTCAAATATTGCGCGTGTATGTCGGTTATCGCGGTAAAAAGTAACCTATGTTATTTGCTGATAAGCTTTGTTTGCTTACGCCTTAGGATTTGGGGAGACAGACTACGTCCACACAGTGAATTTCTTACGGGAATAGTTTCAGAGGTTTGATTATTATGAACAATAATACTGTTAACGAGTTAGTGATTAAGCAAATTTTTTTGGTTCACGGCCACGTTCAATATACAAAATTATCGTTTTAGTTAGACGAAAATCCTTAACAGAAACATGAAAAACCATACCACAGTTTTAAAGTAAATCTTTGGTTCGCGGAAGTATAATAAAAAAATCTTATCTGTACAATTTCATCGAATAAAGTTTTTTAAACACTGTTCGAACGCCATCTGCTCTGTAAAACCATAGGAATTTGAGAAGTCTCGAGTAGATACGTGTGAAACATTCAGGTAATGATAAAGCACCTTGGTCATCTGATTGCCAACATTTAGATAATTGTTATAAATTTCTTTATTTCCATAAATAATGACTTTACAAAACATTTCTTTAGGATTTTTATATGCATCCACAAAACAATTTTTTACAGTTTTGTTACAGTTAATATAACAAATTTCGTAATTTAATAAAATTAAAATCGTTAAATAAATAAAATTGACATTTTGCTGCATGCAAAAACAAATAAATGTTTACAAATAAATAATTTAAACTATTACATCCGTTTACATACATTGATTAATTTAGTGAGAACACTCAACGAGTGAAGGCCACATCTGTTTATCCTGTGCTTTAGAAAATCTGAGTTTACTCGTATATCAGATTTTCTTAATATTTCATCAACCCATTTCTCTCTCAGTTTATCTCTTTTCTTTTTGTTTGTTGTTTTCTTTTTGTCTATTTTTACGTTAGCCATCCGTCAGGTTCCAAATCATTCATAACCTTTGTTGTTTTTCTTATTTCTATGTCTTTTATTCTGTGTTTTCTTACAGTCGTAGAAAATTGTTACTGTTGTTACATTGTCATTATGTTCGTAAATACAAAAACCTCATTTTGCTCATCTCTACGCATCACATGTCCACACCAGAATAATCTTTTGTTTCTTAACTTTTCATCCACTGGTGCTACTTTCAGGCCTTCTCTAATGTATTCATTCCTAACCTTGTATATCCTAGTCACATCACACATCCATCTTAATATTCTCATTTGAGATACAGCGTGACTCACCCGTTTTCTTTATTAGCCAACGCCCAGATTCATGTAGGACTTTTCCTCGTATATTTATAGAAAATATTCAACTATGAGTTGAAATTTTACGGTTTCTAGAATGGTAACTATAGCATGTACAAGGGAATTCCTTTACGTGGGCTCCCTTCTCTCTCTTTTACGAAATATCTACTGAGAGAGCTGAAAAAAGAGTACGACATTCACCATCGGTTTTGATGCGCTGCTGAGCTGAAACTACTAATACGCCGTTTACTCTTCTACTTCTAAGTGGTGGGGAAATTATTATGACGCTCGTACACCAAAACTATTGATTTTACAACAAAATTGTCATCACATAATTCATAAAAAATGTTTTCAGGTTTAATCTTGTAGATTAATGTTCTATCGTAACGTGAGTCAGAAAGGAGATAATGTCGAAAAAATACTATTCGTTGCCATTTTAAATGTGTGTATTTACAAAAAAAAAACAGTATTTAATTATTCTATCAGTCGATCCAGCTTTCATAGTACAAGCTCTGCTTAGTTTGAAACTAGATGGCGTTGTGTATCAAATGTTCAAAATATTATTATTATTTTTCCAATAACGCAGCGTTGAAATCCAGAAAGGACACGTCAAAATCTATCAAAGTATTAATTTTTAAAACTCACGGTAAACTTTCCAAGTTAAAAATACATAAAAGACTGCACTATTAAGAGAATTATTAAACTTAATATATCCGTCTGAGTAAAAATAGTATTCGTCAAATTGATGATATTATAAGTAATTCCAGAAAGGCTCAAACTATGGCAAAAAGTTTGAGCCTTGGCACATAGTGGCCGCTCTAGAAGTGTAGCTATCAGTGACCCGAGCGCGGTTCGCGGTTAATGATTACACCTATATGAAGATTTATCATTTCGGAAGGAGATCCTGGGATCCATTTCGGAGGAGTTTAAGGTTTCAGTGTTTAATGACGTGGACGGCCAAATTTCTTTTGTTTTACACAGGCGGACCTAATGCCCAGTACATTCTCTCTATGTCGACCTTCGAGTCGACCCCAGACCCTGATAGGACCTTTCTTTTCTTTTCTTTTCTGAGCGGAACTAAAGATAAAATATTAAACTTGCTAATCCTCGCAACTTTATTAGCGCCCCTCAAAAGAATTACATTTTCCACGTTATTGCATGTTTTCATTGATGCTCGGCTCCTATTGGTGGTGGTTATATAGCCTTTAGCCTTTTCATGAATAAGCTATCCAACACTAAAATTATTTTCAATTCGAACCAGTTGTTCCTGAGATTGACGCATTCAACCAAATAAACAAACTGTTCAGTTATGTAATATTGGCATAGATAAATTAATTAATCACATTAAACAGTGATAAATAAAAAAATAGTTTTTATGAATGTTTTAATTTTGGTTTTATTATATATTGGTTTAAGTTTATTCTGTAGGTATTAAGTAGGTTTTGCGTCTATATACGGCTGTACCGAACACTTACTAACATTGTTAATAAATAGGATTTTATATAATTTTTTAACTTTATACGTAAAATCTCATGTCACGATGTGTGTCTTTGATGAACTCTGACACTACTCTTCCGTTTTTTGTCAAATTTTGCATACTATGTGTAACTTGATCCAACTTAAGTTAGGTATATGATAGTTTTATCTATATTATTGGTCGTCCAGATAAATCGTTTGATCAATATTTTGTACGTAAAGATTATTATCGATTAAAATGGAATATTCTGTTTCCTCGGTCGGATATGTCTTACATAGATAGTGCAATATTTCGATTCCAATTTTTATTCAATCCAATCTATTTTCTTTAATAATTTCATTACGTTTATAACCCTGCTATCTCAGCTGTTCCTATATTATTCTTTGTTCAAAGAAATTTTAATGGTTGTTCTTGTATTTTATGAGATTTAATTAAAAACGGTCAGAAGTGTATATATCAACAAAAACATGTCGTTTCCTTTTCTCTTTCTAATTGAATTACGTGTGCAAAATTATTTAGCCTGAAATTTGACCTGAAAATCCTGGTAAACGGAACGATGCTTGCAATATAACACTGAAACAGATGACACAGAATGCAACAGCCGCGCAATATGGTATATCACAGCGCCTGTTCAAAACGTGACCTGTAGTAAGTCAGTAGCCCACCACGAGCCGCCCGCCGCGCCAGGGCGGGGGGGGGGGGGGGGGGGGGCGGACGGCTCGGTGGCGCGGCTACGTACTTACCGTGCGCGTTGTTGGCGCGCTGCGAGGCACCCAGCTGGCCCAGCCCGAACCGAGACGTCTTGCGCTTCAGCAGGGGGGCGGAATACTAACGGGAATATACTTTTTCTCGTTCTGTGGACAAATATATTTGTTTGACTATATTCAATCGTAGTTTTACACAGGACCGGGTGTTGTGGAAAGCCTCGGGCGAGGCATATGTCCAACAATAGACGTCTTGTCCGAGATGATGATAGTAGTTGTAATAAACGAGTAAATAGACATTATTATAAATAGTTTTAAAGGTGAAGGAACACCAGCGACCGCCTGGTCGCTGGTGTTACTTCACCTTTAAAACTATTTGTATAACTATTTGTCGGTCGGTGGTGGTGGTCGAAAAAATGACAGAAAGGGGGGTTGGGTGACGATTGACTAGATGTTTGTGCTAATCGTTGGCAAGGCGTTAACTTATCAATATCTAGTTACAAATACATGCACTTAGTAACGAAGATTATTTCTGACAAATCTAAAACTGACTATTTTGTTATGGTTATGGTTCAGCAAAAAACACTGAAATAATAGTAATTTTAACTATACTAATCTCGTAATTTACTTACCTAATACCCTACAACCCAAAGTAAAAATTATATCTAGAAAAACTAGGTGGGCACAATAAAATTTATTATAACGGTCCCTTGAGTGCTTATCAAAGCAAGAAAAAAAATCGGTGTATTCTTTGTGTGTCCTTAGAAAGGAGGTTTGAGAATGAAAATGAATAATAGTGTTAGTTAATTAGTGACAATGAAAGTTTCAACGTGAAAGTGGTAAGGTCATTGCTAACATTACTAAGTCTTCTGAAACAGGACGATAAAATAAAAGATGGTCATAAGAAGATAATAACCTTATATGCATAGATTATACCATTATCATGTATTAAACTAAAGAGCCTAAGCCGAGCTGTCGAAAAATGCGCACAGTGTTTACACGTTGGTTTAGTGGTGTAGTGGTATAGTGGTTCAGTGGTATAGTGGTTCAGTGGTATAGTGGTTCAGTGGTATAATGGTGTTGTGGTGTCGTAGTGTAGTGGTATGGTGGTGCAGTAGTGTAGTTGTGTGGTGGTGGCTAGGTACTGACCGTGCCTGGTGTCGGGGTGCGGCGGCATGGTGGCGGGCGCGGAGATGGTGCGCTTGTAGGGCCACTTGGTGCCGAAGGACGCGCTCAGCGTGTTCACGTTGTTGTCCCGCGCCGACACGCTCAGCGCTTCGTGAGCGCGACGCACTTTGTTCAGGAACCATTCCGAGCTGGTGTCGCTGCTCACCAGTTCTGTACCGTACCATATTTTAATTAAATTAGTTATGCCTAGATACATATTTCATACAAAAATATGCCAAATATAGGATATGGATAGAAAAAAGAGATTAGTTTATTAGTTTTTTTTTTAATGACAACTCCCGCATTAGGAATAAATCCTGTGTCGCGGAGGACTTTAGAAACATACATGAAACAGACACAAAGAACACACAGACTCAGAACAACAATTTGTGTATCACACGAAGTGTTGTTCCATGTAGGGATCGGACCCACAACACTCAGCGCAGTAGGAAGCGGACCGCTTAGACCACTACGCCATCCGTGCAGTCATTTGACACTCATTTGGCACTCATCACTTGACAGTCATGTCTTATTTAGGAGCACATCTTAGCCATATCTTCCTCGGAGCGTTTTCTCCCAAACTAGGCTTTAAGCCTACTACGATACGGGTGAATTTCGATTTATTTACGCGGAGCAAGTGCCATCATCTCTACAACCCGAGTACTAGGCGATATCGAAGTACTATAGAAAAACTGCTGTCGGATGTCTTAGGGCTTCAAGTACCCGTAACGATTGACACAGTTGTTCATGTGGTAACCGGGACTGAGGCACGGAGTGGTCTCAATGTGTTAATAATGGTCACCCATCCATAGACTGACCTAGTTAGGATTGCTTAACTTTATAATGTGCTATTCGGCTACCACTTAGCCACGCGCCCCTTAGCCATATATAACCACTTTATTCTGTTATCTCAAACATAACACATAAATTAAATGATAAATAACAAAAATAAAATGAAATGGGCATAAAATAAAAAAACGAAAAACCCATAATTCAAAATCACCGGATCGATCAAAACCGCAAAACAGAAAATAATTCCTGGAAATGAAATGATTATTAAAAAAATTATATCAAACGGTGAACGAGAAAAAAAGTGTATGTTCGTAAAACAAAACATACAAACACTGTAATTAAATACGAGCTAGGACTTCTAATTTCCAAATGATAGCGCCAGAAATAAAGTATTGTGTGAATGATAATAATAATGATTTATAATTCACATAATCATACATGTGACTGATTTACAAAACGCCTGCGACTTATTATTACGCTAGTGCCAGACACGCGAAAGATCTAAAATTAAAAAAAAGAGGTCATGGGCGGCGGTAGTCACTTACCATCTAGTGATACCAATTATTTTTTTGTGTAAATTTAAAAATACAAAGACACCTACTAGATCACCGCCCCACCCCCACCCCCTCCCAAATTCCCAAATACCCAAATAAGGGACTTGTATCTCTTAATGTACATGGGTAGCGGTAATCACTTACCATCTAGTGACCCATATACTCGTTTGCCTCCTATAGCATATAAAACACAGAATGATATAAGAACTATTAATAACATCATTGTTATTCAAACTTACCCCTCAAATTGGAAAAATCAATTGATTTATTCGAGTTGATTTGTGCTTCCAAGAATAGAGCTTCGAATCTATTCCAGAAGAAATTCCAAGTATCTTTCGGTCACTGAGCGTATTGTGGAGCTGGTAGATGGACTGCAGGATCATGGGACGGTCCACGATGACCAGGTCGAATTGTGTCTCCAAACAGTAGAGAAGTAGCTAAACAGGAAAGACATATGTTCAGGGACATATTTTATAATATTATTTAAATTCGTGTGGCGACGGATTAAGAATACGGAGTTTGTTTTTTCTTTTTTATAAGACAACTCCCGCATTAGGAATAAATCCTGTGTCGCGGGGGACTTTACAAACATACATGAAACGGACACAAAGAACACCCAGACTCAGAACAACAATTTGTGAATCACACAAAGTGTCGTCCCACCTGGGGGATCGGACCCACAGCACTCAGCGTAGTAGTGAGCGGCGTGGCGACCGCTTAAACATCTATGCCATCTGTGCAGTCAAAGGAGTGTCACCACCCCACCCCTTGGATGTCGTAAGAGCCGACTAAGGGAACAAGCTACGCACTACAACAGCACTGCAATGAAAAGGTAAACTTGACACAAACCCCTTACCACAAAAAAAGCGATCGGTTATGAAGACTTAAGTTTATTCTATGACTTGCTGTAACTGTAACTTCGTATATTTCTGATATTAAAAGACAACATATCATACAAACAAGCAGACTATTTTTTTATTGTGTAAATTTGAAAATACAAAAACAACAACTATCTAACCCTTCTCCCCTCCAATATTCCAAATTAGGGACTTGCACTTGTGTCTCGTGATGTACATGGTTGAAAGTTATCACTTACCATCAGGCGACCCGTCTGCTCGTTTGCCCCTATATAAAGTGAAAAGAAACCAACAAATCACCATCCCCTCCCCGAATTAGGGACTTGCACTTGTATCTCTTGATGCATGGGCGAAGGTTGTCAATCACCATCAGGTGACCCGTCTGCTCGTTTGCCCCTATACAAAGTAAAAAGAAACCAACAAATCACCATCCCCCCCAAATTAGGGACTTGCACTTGTATCTCTTGATGCATGGGCGAAGGTTGTCAATTAATATCAGGTGACCCGTCTGCTCGTTTGCCCCTTTACAAACTACAAAGAAACCAACTTCCTCTCCCCCTCCCCCACCCACCAAATTTACTAAATAAGGGACTTGCACTTGTAGTGCCCCTATTGCACAAAAAAAAACTGCAGTTTAATATCTGAAGTCTCCAATTTTTTTTAAATTTAATTCACAATTAAAGTACTTATCTAACTATGAGTCATCACTAATAAATTTAGTGAAGAAACAAGTACGCTGACCTTGTATGTTAAAAAATTTAGTGATTTGGTGCATCCTGAATTCCACAAACAGATAGTCTGTACTATAAACAAATTATCCATAAAATTGAAGTTGTACAAACCTGATGATAGTTACTCGTTCCACTGCAGTAAACCTAACGTGATAGTCGTGATGGTGGAATTGATCCCGGATGAGGTTGCAGAAAACACGTCGGCTCCTCCAGCCAGAGTCACGCAGTGCAGGAGTACAGGAACCGCGACAGAGCATATGTGCGAGTGAGACGCGTTGCACACACTCCATAAGCTAGGTAAAAATTATATAGTAAGATATGACATGAGCCTGGTACCAGATGGGTGATAAAACTAGCTGGGCCTCTTGCTCTGATCGAGTATAATTTCATTATGCCTTGGAAAGATTTACAGAAGCATAAATTACAGCATCTGACAGTAAAGGTGATTTAAAAATCCGTCCAGCCATTTTGTAGATTACCTGGAACAGACAGCATACATTTTTTGTATCAGTAATATTTAAATATTAAAGCAACTGTTAGTTTGATATTAGAAACAGACAATAACAGTGAAATTTCAATTTGTATGTATCCCTATCCCGATAAAAATGTCAAATGATACAGTCCCCGTAGAAAATTTTGAAAACGAAACGAGTCGCAAGCGAAGAAAGAACAACCAGACGGTTGCCGAACCTATGTCCTACACATAACCATAGAGCTAATCTATCATACGAGGAACTCAACAAGATATCATCTTTAACACAATCTATTACTAAAACATACTTGTCGATAAGCAAGTTCTCCTGGCACCATATCAGGAAACCTCTGTGGTCTGCTAAGGCGTCCGTATTTAACACCAACACTTGGAGACATTGGAGTAAATGGTACAATACGTCTGGTCTAGATGTACTCTTCAATTCCTAGGGGCAAAGATAAATAAAATATTAGTTGTTCTTTCATAGGCTGCTTTGTTTAAGTCACCTAAAATCGATCTGATTCTTAAAATTATAAGAACTAGTACATTTTTTGTATAGGCACACTGTAGTACACAATGTATGTACCGAATGTTCGTATTGTTTATCCAGTATTTCCAAAGTGCCACGACGGACATCATAAACTTGGGACTATGAATGAAGAAACCAAAACTATGAGTAGAAACTTGGGGTATTAAAAACGTCTGGATCTGCCTATTTCTTCATGGATATACGCATTTCTATGAGTGTACGCGGGCGCGTGCTTTAGCGGGGTAGTGTGTGTATGTGTGGTTGTGTGTGTATGCATAATCATCATCAGCCTTTAGCACTACTCCACCGAAATTTCTTTATATAACTGTTGAAACAAACCTGCAAAAGCTGATGTATATACTGCAACTCTTGAGGCAGTTCCTCGATACAGAAGTGGAACTTGCCAGCAGATGTGAGCCAGAAATTTATCATGTCGTCGTCTACTGACTCGGCACTGGCTTCATTGTCGCCTAGCAAGTTAGGCGTAGAAACCTACACAAACAAAACGTAGTTGTCATGATATAGCAGCGTTACAATTCATGACATCCACTTCTTTGGCGTTTTATTTCTCAAGTTTTGTTCTGTAGCTGTTGTTGAATTTAGAATTATAAAGCTTTATCCTTAATGTAAGAGTGGACACGTCGTATTTTAGTTCGAAAGTCCCAGCAAACTATGGTATGAAGTTCGGTCAAGTGCGAGTTTAGCTCGCATGTACCGTTCACGTAGGTTACAATTCGCAATGTAAGATGTGGAATTGTTAATCTTTTAATATTTAGTTAAACCTTTCAGACTACCATTGAATTGCAAATTGAGTTTGAATCATTTGAATCCATTCCTTTTCATATTTCATACAGAAACCCTAAAAACATCCAATATACTTGCATCAGCCGTAGCAGTTGCCACATCCGTGTCGGTTAAAGTAATAGTGTGCGCGGTAGCCAAGGTTGGTGCATCAGTTGGTGGCAAAGACACGGCCATGTCAAGCTGTTCGGTGATCGTCTCTACCGTGGCCGTCATTATCTGCGCACGATACCATCACATCATCAATATAAAGTTTGGCACAAATGTTTGCACACAGCTTTGGCGTTTTACACCAAGTGGTGACTACTGCTATACGTCTAGTTAGTAGTATTTTTAGTAAGTTAGTTAGTTTGATTATTTCAGTGTTTGGATAACATCAAAATGTCGTATACTGAATATAATATTGAGTGTATTAGCCGAGTCAAATTGTTGATACATGAAATAGGAAATATTATAATCTAGTGTACAATAACTTATTTTTCTAACATCTATGATTAGAAAAACATATAGTATCGTACACATTAGTAAGTATACTAGGTATATAGGTGCTGATATATTAATATGATAAAGTATTATATAGGTATTTATAATATATACAGGATACAATGTGTACTTTTAATATTAATACATTGTGATTATCCATTTTTGATATAGGTCTTTTTTTTAACGCATTACGATTTTTTCATAATGCATTTATTTTTAAGACCAAGATAAGAAAAAGTAAATTTATTGTTTATTATCGTATCGTAACTTCCTAGAATTTTTAACTTTTTTTTTCATAGTTTTAGACTGACTGACACCTGGAATTCTAGAACCACAGCTGCGTATGAGTGTCACCCCCGGAGTAAGAGAAGGGGAGGGGTGTTGTTCAACAATGCTCGCTACAATAATTACAATAAATCACCTTTTCTATCTTATATAAGTAAGTATTTATATTTTCCATTACTATACCAGCTATTTTATTAAATACGGTTGGGTTTTACAGGATTGTCGATTTTATAATATGTACGTCGATCTATATTATTATAAAAATAAAGAAATTTATGTTTGATTGTCACAGAAAATTGTTCTTGCAAATAGTTGTTTGCAGGATATCCATCTCAAACACACTGTAACTTTATGAATAGTTTAAGAAATGAAATAATTTGAAATGAAAATACTTTAAATTGAAAGTTGTACGCGGTTTTTCTAGCGAGTGTATGCCGAGGAGATTCGACTATTTTCGAGCCCAACGAGGGTCTTTATCAAGTGGTGAAGCAACTGTCCGTCGGTGTCTGTACATCGAAACCCACGGACAAGATCTCTCTTCGGATCCGAAAAATACAAACGTATGTCCTTCATAAATAATAATAATAACCTCACACATCTGACAGACAGCCTCCTGATCCCAAACTAGGCAGAGACTGTATTATGTTAACGAGACTGCTGATATGATATTTCTAAATAAATACATATAATAGGTAAATTACACCTAAACACAGAACCAATAAACGTCCTCATCAGACAAATATTTGTCCTGGTTTGAAATCGATTGCTTAACAGTCAGGGTGACAGGCCCGTCAATATATGGAGGTGCACAAGTTTAAGCTAGAGGAAAACTTTAATTAAATATTGTTTATGATATTTAAACTTCATCAATGTTTTTTTTAATATAAGAACAACTGATTTATCAAACATAATAACATATCATAAAATCGACAACGTCTAACACCAATAAAACAATACACGTTCACATAAGCTCTCAAGAGAAAAGAAAGAGACAGGTGCTTTGAATGTGGAACGTCTCACAGTGAAATGATTATTTCATCTTACATAGGAATATAATTATTTGACATGTAGAAAGTAGCTGACTAATGCGGTAAGTTCGAGTTGAAAAAACTTAAAGTTGAGGCAGACAGCGGGTGGGGCGCTGCGGTTAAAATTTATTAGCGCCCTGAGCTCGCTCACCTCTGAATTACCGAGAAAGTGAGTCGGCCTGTGACAACGCCGACAATACAACCTGGCCGAAAAACCAGGCTATTCAAAGGTATTGATGGAATTCATTCCTGAACTAATAATTATGCATCTTGAAGTTTGAAAGTCTCATTCTATATTAAATAGTACATCACAACCTATTCATGTCGTGGCTATCTCGCCCCGCTCGCTGTTTCACTCAACCTTGTGCCTTCAACTGTATTATTTATTACTTTATATTTTGATAAAATTGCCTGTATAATAATATAATTAACACCAAAAATAATAAACGTGAATTTTTAATTATTTGAGTAAATAAAATCAATTCCAAATGTGCAGCGTCCCACATTCAAAGCTAATATCAAGTGACATACTTGCGTATCGCCTGACGATTTAGTTATCGTGGCGTCCGACCCGACGTCGCTTATGAGTGACAGTTGCATGAAATGAACAAACTATAAAACTACGTTACAATATACAAGTAAAGATAACTAGCACAGATAATTGGCCAGTGTAACACGGCCTTTGCAGTGTACCAATGGTGGAAGTTACTGAATAACATATACTACATTCGAGTTTAAACACGTGTTTCTATTTTAATTATTCTTTTTCCTAAATCGAACTTGGTTGAAGATGACATATTTTATGTGAAAATAAATTTTCATATTTACTGAACTCATACTCAAGTATACGATTGAAATGCGTGTACGAAATACATTTGGTAATCAATACGAGGGCTGCTATTTATGTATCCGGAGCTGGCCAGTTACAGAACAATATTAAAAAAGTAATTTAAAAATGGAACTCTTTGGCTGAAGAATAGTAGTATAGTAGTTGTCATTTTTTTATCCTTTGTAGCGTCATTTTGAAAATTGCGGTACTTTATCACCATGGATTTAACTCGTGAAAATTTTCGTGCCATGATTTATTACGATTTTCGGCTAGGGCTAACTCAAAAACAGTGCATCGATCAATTCACTTCGAATTTTTGGGACGAAGCATCATCAAAATACAACTGTGTATCACTGTTTTAGTGAGTTTAATCGAAGGCAGTCTGTGCTCACGGACGAATTAAAAGAAGGTCGTCCTAAATCAGTTGTTGTACCTCAAAATATTGATGCTGTGCCGGAACTAATAATGAAGAATCGTCATGTTACATATCGCGACATAGAGGCGTCTCTGGGAATAAGTATGACGAGTAAATAGAAAATATTACACGAACATTTAGCTGTAAAAAAAATTTGTTGGACGCACAACTTCAGAATTGACCAAAAACGGACTCGTGTCGATTGGTGAAAAACATGTTACAAAAGTACAATCAAGGTGCATCAAAAGCTGTCTATAATATTTACACAGGTGATAAATCTTGGACATATGCGTATGATCCCAAAAATAAACAAAAATCAACGGTTTGGGTGTTCCAAAAGCACTTAGAAGCAAATAGTCGCTTATTTTTTTGGTGTGAATGGACATGTGGCTACAGTGCCACTCGAGGATCGTAAAACAGTTAATTACGAATGGATCACGACCATTTGTTTGCCAGAAGTCTTTGAAGAAATAAGAAAGAATAACGGACAACGCGGAATCCTACTTCATCATGACAATGCTTGCTGCCACACATCGGCCGAAACAACTCAGTATTTGGAAGATCAAAAGATCGAATTAACTTGCCATCCGCCGTACAGCCTTGACTTGGCCCCCAACGACTTCTATTTATTCCTATACGTGAAGAATAAATTACGTGGTCAACGTTTCTCCAGCCGTGAAGAGGCTGTTGATGGGTTCAAAATGCACGTTGTGGAGATACCACAATCAGAATGAAAAAAGTGCTACGAAAATTAGTTCCAACGTATATTTAACGGCGAATATTTTGATAAGCAATAAAACTATAATAAAGACTATAATATGTTTGTTTTACTTTGTTATTCCGGATGCATAAATAGCAACCCTCGTAGTTTAGGACCTCTTCTACAAAAAAGTGTAACGTCTTAACGAGTGTCGCCTGAAAGTATTTCGAGCGACACTCGAACACCAAAAAAATATTCATCATCATATTTAAAAATATTCATTCAATATTAATTATTGTTTGCACTAATTTTTATATCGCGAGCATTAATAATCCGGTTTTTCGTCTATATTAATAATTTCGTTGTTTTACCTATTTAAATTTAGTTCGATTAAAAAAAATACTTAGTTGGTAAAATATCAGGGAACAAAGCTCAATTTTTTATTTTGTATCAGCTTTATAGTAATTTATTCCGTCTGATTTGTCAGTTTGCTTTAAATTTTGCTTTTGATTGGTATTCGGTACTAAATAAAAACTCGATATCCGCATATTAGGACGTCTAATATAACTATCAGAAAATAATCAACAAAATGCCAGTAACGTTCAACACTTTTAGCCTACGTAAGTTAATAAAAACAGGACAAAAAAGAGATTTTATTTAAAGTATTACTGAGACATGCACAATCCTTCTAATAGGCCAAAAATTATAAATAGATCGGGGGAGGAGTCTTTAGGTAAAGTTGCGTCCATAATGAAATAAGGACCTGATATTTTAAACCACCCAACCGCACTTGTTTTTTTTTATTATTTCTATATTAGATCCAATAGTTTTATTCCTCGTATCTATCCGCTATAACTATCACTCTCACTACTGACAGAGGGACAGTAAATTCTATTTAAACATTTAGTTATTAAAACACTTGACCGTCACTGTAAGCTTTATTATGAGAAGGCATTTCCGTTTCCGTCATAGTTCTACCAGTTTACCCTCTTTTTAGTACCTTGTACATCCGGTCCAGTAGCGACACCTGGCGGTCGTGCGCTTTTAGTTGATGTAAAACGTTTGGGGCGCCATTTTTATCATTGGCGTTTCGTTTCCCGTCGAAGCAACACATACGCAGCTGCTCTGTGACTGCTACTGTTGCACTTAATATATTACAGTAATATAAGTGATATTATAGTATTGCAATAAAGCAAAGAGTGAATTGTGTGAAAAAGAATAGTGCATTTATTATATTCTGGTGAGTACTTACTTAATCAATAAAGTTTTGCTTTTTAACGGTTATGCCGTTCGAATGTAATATATTTCATACCAAATAACTACCAGTATAACTGTTCTTAATGTATGTAAATAATCATTAGAAACACGTGGTTGTTAGAGGTTAGAATGTTTGAACTTCGATTATAATTGATCTTGGTTAATTTTGTTTATGTATTTTCTATTTTGATATTAAATTCCTTCCTCGTGAAAAGTAACGTA